CCAGCTCTCACAGCCATACGTTACTACTGGAAAAACCATAGCTTTGACTATGCGGATCTTTATGCGGATCAGTACTGCTTAGAGACATCCCATTTTGAAATCAACATAATAAACACCCTCTCAGACTGAATATTGAAACAGCTGCTAGTGCTGAATCTATTTTTATTTATTTATTTATTTATTTATTAAATTTTTCAACCGCCCATCTCCCCCCAATGGGGGAACTCTGAGAGATTCACAACAAACATTAAAAACATAAATATATATAAATACATAAAACATTAGTTAAGAACATTACTAAAAAGGAGAAGGAGAGTCCAAGAGGATGAAAAATCTGAGGCTGAAGACAGAAGGCCTCTATGGGGCTAGCCATCCCCATTATTAGGAGAGTCCAAGAGGATGAAAAATCTGAGGCTGAAGACAGAAGGCCTCTATGGGGCTAGCCATCCCCATTATTAGGAGAGTCCAAGAGGATGAAAAATCTGAGGCTGAAGACAGAAGGCCTCTATGGGGCTAGCCATCCCCATTATTGGATCAAATAACATTAGCAGTATATACTTGGAAAGCATAGAAAATAAAATTTCTTGACCGCTAAGTATTTTATGGACACCCCTAGGAACTGCAGATGGAAGATTAATTAGTGGATCAGTGGATTTAAGGACATTGTCCCAGTAGCTCTGAAGTAGTTGGACAATGAGTACAGGTTGACAAAGTTCAGAAGCCTCGATAATTAACCACACACATTTGTGCTTGTGGCTGGGACATTTTCACTATGAACACAAGTAGTGAGGTTGATGAGCAACAGACAACTTCCTCTTCACAGCTGGAAGAGAACTGGAGCAGAAAGCCCCCTTACCTCGGTTCCTTGCCACCACTTCACAAGAAACATTTGGGATGTCACAGTAACGGCCAGTCCAGCCTCCAGGGCAATCACAGGATAAAGTAGCACCCGACTGCACACAATGCCCACCATTTTGACAGGGGGAGTGGTTACACAAATCCAGAAGGTTCTGGAAGGACAGAACAAAGCAAGAGTATGTGACAATATATTGTGCTCTTGCCAATGTGAAACCCAAGCCTTTCTTACCACTCTTTCCTCATCTTCCTTTTGTATTGAGCTATTGTGATATATACCTCTGGTCTCAGACTTTCTTGCAGAAGCCTTGCTTACATTAGATAAACTCTAAAGATTTAAATTATTTTCATCTCCTTTACCTGAGGCTTGTAGCAGATTACCTGGCACTGAGGACCTGTGTAGCCCTGAGGACAGGTACAACGATAGGACTGCACACCATCATGGCACACCCCACCATTGAGGCAGGGCTGTGACTGGCACTCATCAATCTCATGCTGGCAGTGGGTGCCTGTGAAGCCAGCACGACAGTGGCATGTGTATGAATTCACTCCATCCAAGCATGTTCCACCATTGAAGCAAGAGCTGCCAGAAGATAAACACAGACGTCCAAAATGGAGGAATCAATGAGACTTTCTAGTTTGAGTTTCCTCTAGCAGAGATTTAACTTTCTCTAGGCTAAATATGTTGGCAAACAAGTATCTTAAAGAAGAATTTCTACTCTAGGTGAAAAATGAAACAGTAAGAACAGTCTTCAGTGCAGGTTCTCCTGGTACTCTGCAGATGGGCTCAGTGATTAATATTTCTTCTTGCTCAATATTTGGGATTTGGTTTGCCTGCAACTGAGAGGCAATGGAACATTACTGGTAAATCTTCATATGCTTTAGCCTCCAATGCTTCCTCCACTTGGACTGTATGGCCTATGAGCAGCTAATTCAAAGGAACAGAGCTACAGAGTTCTGTTCAAGAGGAGCATGTATGTATCATGATCTGTTTCGCTATTTGAATACTATTGAAAATACATCTTTCTATTTTTTGCATTATATATCCATCCATATAATGTGATAACAGAGTTGGGAATTCATAGGCCCCTTCAACTGACTTCACGAAGCATGATGTTCCATAGAGGGGAAAGTGGGAAAGCACTCAGTATGTGATGCAAATCTCCAAAATAATTCCCACCACTATACTATTTGGCTTTAGTGGTATAAAGAGAGTTTTAGGGGCCATACTGCAAGCTGAACTGTTGAGCAACATGAGTGACCAGGCAGACTGTGAGCAAGACATTAGACACTGACCCTCAGAACAATAATTCTGATAATCTCACCTGTCAGTGCACTCCTGGACATTGTGCTCACAGTGTAAGCCTGCCCAGCCTGGGGCACAAGTACAAGTGTAGCTGTTGACATAGTCAGTACAGGTGGCCCCATTGCGACAAGGGCTGCTCAGGCACTCATTGGTTTCAGCTGCACAGCGTAGTCCTGTGAAACCTGGCAGGCAAGTGCATGTGAAGGAACTGATGCCATCCTGACAGGAGCCGCCATTCAGGCAAGGATCTATTGGCAGGGAAAAGAATATTCAAAAGGTTTTAGTAAGCATAAGCATTGTTCTCCTTTACCAGGAAGTTTTCAAACAAAAGACTAAATTCTGTATTTTGTATACCCCCATGCATCTAGCATCATAACTGCCTCTGGACTTCAAACTTGAGGATGCTTCCCAAAACATTTAAAAGTGTCTACATTTCACTGGAAATGAATGAAGGAGTTCACGGTCTGGTTTCATGTGTCAGGAAAAGTCAGAATTACATGTTAAGAAAACATAGTTAAACAAAGGCCTTGAGACTCTAGTTTGTCAAGACACCAATCAGGCAGGGATCTCAGATCAGAAATAATGCCATACATCCTGTCTCAACAAAATAACCAGCAGGAGATCAAACTGTTTAGTTCCTATCAGATTATTTCCTGTTGTCCAATGTACTCAATAAACTCACTAGGTATGCAGTCATCAATATCCATCTCACAATTGATGCCAGTGTAGCCAGGGCGGCAGGCACATCTATAACTGCCAAGTGTGTTGGTGCAAGTGCCCCTGTTTCGACATGGGTTTTGGTCACATTCATTAATGTCAATGTGGCATTGCTGCCCTATGGGATAGAACAAAACAGATACAGTTATTTTAAAACATTTAATGCTTTAATTTCTTTATCATGTTTCCATTCAAAGACATTCAAGATAGTGCACAATGCAAAAGGGTAAAAAGAGTTTAACACACAAAGCTACCACTGAACAATAATAAAACTGCATTCTACAATACTCTGAAAGCGATGGGAAAAAAAGGATCCATGGTTATAATACCTTGCCAGCCTGGTGCACAACTGCAGGTAAACCCTTCATAATCAGGAGTGTGGTCACAGACACCATTGTTCTCACATGGGTTAGGGAAGCAAGGAGCCAAAACATTCTCACAGTTCCGTCCTGGGAAAAAAAGAGAAGCCTGTTAAGAATATGCAGATTTCCACTGGCCCAACATCAGAACATCAGAATATCCAGAGTTGCAAATGTAAGACTCCCAAGTGAACACAAATGAAACTCCATGAACAGATGTTTAGCCACAAAGTGCTATGAATAGGAATTTTGTTTCATACATAAAACATAAATAAAGCTTTAAATTTATTATTTGTTGAACAGAGCTAGGCCTTTTCTATGGGAAAGTGTATTTCTGTTACATCTCCAGACTGTTTCTTCCCGCCCTGTTTTTCACACAAACACACAAATACACATTTTTTAAGCTTTGTTTTGACGCATACCCATTTCAACTTGTATTTCAAGAACATCACAGAATAGCCTCCTAGCATTATGCATACAGCTGAGATTTTTACACAATTAGAACCTGAGCTGTATGACTATATCATGAACAGGCAAAGCACAGATCATGAATATGAGCCATGATCCTCCAGCTTCCAATCTAGTACTCATTATCAGTTCTTCTTTGTGCAGCTGCAATATTGATATGATGGTGCCTGTTTAACTGAGGCAGGTTTTGCTTTACAGCAATTTGCAGAGGACAGGTGATCAGTTTTCTTAGCAGGGATTATGCTTAACCTCAAAGAGAAACATCCAGTCTACCAACTCTATCGCAAAGAACTCTCTACTCACCAGTATAAGGCAAGTCACACAGGCAAGCATAACTGGCAATGCCATCAATACAGGAACCCTTGTTGAGGCAGGGGCTGGAAGCACAGTCGTTTATATTGGTCTGGCAGTAAGTCCCTGAAGAGAAAATGATAATCTCATCAATCCCATGAATTCAAATTTGAGAAGAAACCAGTGCCATCATCCACTCCTGTCATACAGAATTGGAGGAAAGGGAAAACTGGTGTCCTTATGGAATTCGTTAGGGCAAAGCATGGACAAGGTAAGCAGGGCAAGGAACCATACCCTGGAAGCCTTCTTTGCATTTGCAACGATAGCCATTGACGTAATCTGTGCAAGTGCCAAAATGCTGACATGGATTGGATTCACACTCATTGCGGTTCACATCACAATTGGTACCAGCCCAGCCTGGCTCACATTCACACTGGTACCTGAAAAACAAAAGAATGAAATTAAGATTCCTTACTTCTTCCAAAACATTCCACCAAGGCCACTTGAATGGCTTGTTGAGGGTGATTTAATGCCCTGTTTTCTTCACAGCCACAGATCTCTAACAGGAACAAAGCCTGCCCACTCCTGACCAATTGGCAGTTTTTCCCAAAGACATCCATATGGACTTGTAGCCTGATGAAAGCTCTCACCCATTGATGTCATCATGACATGTGCCATGCACACAAGGGCTGCTGCTACACTCATCCACTTCTGAATAGCAATGTGGATCATGGAAACCCTCAGGACAAAGGCAAGAGAAGCCATCTTCACCATCCACACAGGTACCACCATTCTTGCAGGGGCTGGATGCACATTCATTAATCTCTATATTGCACAGAGGACCTAGAAGGGAAAAAAGATAGCTCAGCAATGAGATGATCAAGCTTCTAGTTTTAAAGAATGGTAGATCAGTTTGGCTTTGTCTCCTGTACCAACTAAAATTAAAACCCACAGAAAGCTGCAATCATTTGGTGTCAAGCAGTACACTAGGACTTTAAGTCACATATCAGGAGTTGGGCCTATGACAACCAATAATTTGATTTGATATACTTTTAAATTAAGAGCTAGTAAAAATTCTTACTCTCTGTGTATTTAATAATTTTCCACTTCATTACAATTCAGCAACAATTTTTAGAAAGGCTAAACCTATGATCTGAGGGGCAACTGTAGCCACATAACATCCTGGAGCCACAGATTGTACATTTCTCTCCTGCAGCCATTCTGAACATAACTACCCCAATTTCTGCCTGCAAAGCCAAAGATTATAAACTACTTATAATCTGTAGATAGGTTTATCTGTGATATAAACTAATTTTGCAGCTTTTATAACAAATTATTTTCTTTTCTTGCCCCAGCCCCCAGCCAAACATAACCCCACCAGCCATCACCTGTGAAGCCAGGTTTGCAGATGCAGTCATAACGATTGATGCCATCACGGCAGATCCCATAGTCACAAGGATTGCTGGCACAGTCATCAAAGTTTATCTCGCAATTAGCACCTTGAAGGGAAGGACATATCATAGAAAAGTAATACTCCGCCCCTCCCTTCACCAGGCTCCATGATAGCTGGAAATGTTTTTTGTCTTGACTAAATGATTTGTGTAGATGGTGTGGTAAGCTAGCATGGGTTAGCAAAGTTCTTGCAAAGTATCATTTAAGAGTGCAACCAGCAAGTGTTACGAATGGTATAGTGGCTGCCCAACAGTTCTGTCCCTTAAGAAAGGGCTTGAACCCAAGCAAGGAAGAGAAAGCATTTTCTGTGCAATAAGAAGAAAGTCCTACCTGAGGTCCCTGGCTGACAGTGGCAGAGGTACTTATTTACTAGATCAATACATTTGCCCCCATGTTGACAGGGATTGCTGTGGCACTCATTGATCTGGTTCTCACAACGGTACCCAGTGTAACCAGCCACACATGTACAGGTGAAGCTGGCAATGCCATCTACACAAGCGCCATGGTGGCAAGGATCTGGGGAGCAGTCATCAATGTTTTTTTCACACAAAGCCCCTTCAAAACCTATGAGAAAAACAGAAGGCAACGTTAACATGGATCACAGTAACTTCCTGGGGAAGTCTATTCCCCTAACTTTCATTTTAGGAAGTGAAAAGTCAATCAAAGCTATTGATTAAAATGAGACCAACGTCTGATCTTCCAAATCTACTTCTTTAGCTAGGAGCTCTCTGAGGTATGTGTAAACTAAAAGTTTAGACAAGGCTGGAACTAAAGATGGGCAATTCCTATCATAGCAAGGAGTAATAAAAGTCTGGCCCCAACTTCAAGATTAAGTAGGAGTAATTAGATACCATCCTCCACTATAGGGAAAGACTACTATTTCTCTGGAAAAAAAATACAATATCCACTTTTAGTTTGTCAAACATTTTATCATTCTTTTCCACTTACTCAAGACCTAATACCAAAGATAGAAATATACTGTCCTTGAACCAGGCCTTATCCACCTGCTACTTCAGACTCTTTCTTCACTAAATACTTTCTGATGAAGAAGTATGTTATGGGGAAAGAGCTCAAATCACGCACACAATATATAGAAGACAATGAGGAGGGATTTTTTTTCTCACTGTGTCAGTATCTGATAGACCCTTGAATTCATTATCATCAACTTCTACAGTAAACAGTCACCTTCTGTACAACGGCATTCATAAGCATTGGGCCTGTCCACGCACTTGGCACCATTCTGGCATGGTGTGCTGGCACACTCATCAATGTCTATTTGGCACATAGAACCCGAGAAGCCTGAATGCAGAAGGAAAAATATGTCAAATAAATCAGAAGAACCAATGAAATGGCAACTATACCACCGCTCCTATTACATTAGATAGTTAGGGCATCCCAACGACAACACACAAAAGTAGTGCTTGTTGTTATTCACTCTGATAGACAGAAATTTTATACTAACATCTGTACCATATTTTACAGGTTTCATTGAATGCAGTGGACAGAGGAGTGTGATTTTATTCATTATGCTATTGGCTTTTGATTTTCATTTTAACCTTATTTTGTAAATCATCTATAGAGTCTTGGGAGCTCGGAAGTTTAGAAATACAGTGAAGCCTTGATTTAGTGGACCTCAGTGTGAAAGACATCATATTCAATGACCTAATTTTCCACATCAGTTAACATTATTTGTGTTTCTATGCAAATTACCTAAATTGACACAAATAACAAAATTTACTTCATAAAGCACCACAAAACCATGTACATGTACAATGGTTCTGGTAAATCCAATGCTGCTTTGGGAAGAATGGAAGTACTACCTGAACAGCTACCTCTGCTTTCTCAGTGGCTATGTAGGGAAAATCCCATATAAACAGCCCACTGCCATTAGAAGAAACAAAAAGCATTAGAAGCACGGTTGGTGAAAGTGTCAGTATATGCTAATTCTAAGAGACAGTCTCCAGTTAACTAGAACCTAGATCCACCCAGGATAAACTGACAATTTGAACTGAAATAAGTAAAGGCAGTAATAGAAAAAGTTCAGCATTGTAAAATACAGCTTAGTTGCACAACTCAGCCTCACCACCAGAGGCCTACAGCAAGAGCTTTTCATATCTCTCTCCCTTCTCTCCACAGGGGGCTTTGCAGTGTCTACCGCACATGTAAATTGGGTTCAGGGGCCTGAGCGACAGGCCAGGGGAACAAAGATGCCATTGTCCAAGCTCCCACAGAGCATGCTATAGGTCTGTCTGTCAATCAACCCTAAAAACAACTAAATGGAGCATAGGACCTCTACCCGGTTATAGCAGAAAAGCTGGGCAAGTCCAGGGAAAGGAGCTAATGATACTGCCATAAAATTGCAGTGGTAGCTCAGACACTGACTATAAATTCTCCAAATGAGCTGCTTGCTCAGCAGTGGATGCCTATTCAGACTGTACCACGGGGCAGGAGATAAAAAGTGTCACAGGGGGCAGTATGAACTCAAGAGAAACTGCAGCACAACTCTAAGACAAAAGCAGGATATATTGTTAAGTTGACTCAAGTAGCAGGCTTTCTCTAATATTATGAGTAACGAAAAAAACTAAACTTCTTACAAAAATTGCTGTTCCCCAATCTTCTAAATGTCAGGGCTGGGCATGCTTCAAATACACTAAAAAAACATATAGTGCATTGTCAAGTAAGAAGCCAAGTGGAAAAACATTTTCTAGATTTCTGTAACATTATGCTGAAGCTTCCCAGTGGAAAAGTGAGGCAGTGCTCCTGGATGGCAAAGCTCTATACTTACCTGAGGGGCAGGTGCAACTGAATCCATTGACAATATCCTTACAGATACCACCATTGACACAGGGATTGCTTTCACACTCATTGATATTTATCTCGCAGTAAGTACCACTGAAACCTGTAACCATGAAGAATCATTTATGTTACAAACTCCAACCTCATCAAACTTCACCCTGCCCCTCCATATATTCAAAATATGTACTCAGTGTACATCCCACACCAATAATGGGACAAAGAGCCCCTCATCAGAAACACTAATTTATTATGTGGAGAAAGATACACCATAAGAAAAGGCATTTTACTTGCAAAATTGGGCACTTATAAAATCTACTTTTTTGAAAAGTATTTGCTAATTTCTTACAAAGACAGCTTTAATGGGGCTAAATGACCATTCATTCAGTCACCATTCGAAGTTACGATGGCACTGAATGGACTTACAACCCGTGCCCAGTTACGACCACTGCAGCGGCCCCACAGTCACGTGATCAAAATTTAAGTGCTTGGCAGCCCACCCGCATTTACAACCACAGGGGTGTTTCAACTCCCCCCACCCACCTATCTTCCCCAATCTCTGCCCTTTTGGCCACTCTGCACCCTGCCTTGAGAGGCAGCCCCAGAACCGCTGCAGCCACCCCAGTCCAGCTGCGAAAAGCCACCCCAGGAAGCATTTGTTTGCCCAGCTGCCTTCTCTCCCAGTTTCCCGCACCAACCTTTTGCCTTTTGCGCCCAGCCCCCACGGCCAAAGCACTTTGCTGCCTTTCCTGTCTCCTTTTCGGACCCAGCTTCTCCAACTAACTCCTAGCTGCGCTGACTTTGTAAAGGTGTGCTGACTTCGGAGAGCCTTCAGTGCGGGTTTCTGAAGGCTCAGGGAGCCTTGTGCAGGAAAACTTAATTGGAGAAGCTGGGTCTGAAAAGGAGACAGCAAAGGCAGAGAGACACTTCTGCTTTGATTGCAGGGGCTGGGTGCAAAAGGAAAAGGTCGGTGTGGGGAATTGGGAGAGAAGGCAGCTGCGCGAACAAATACTTCCTGGGGCAGCTTGGGGAGATTGGGCTGGGGTGGTTGCAGGGGCAGCTGCAGCTTTGTGCTGTGCTGCGACTCAGGGGCTTCTTGCAGCCACAGAGTCTCATGGTTCTGGGGCTGCTTGCCGCCCTGCAAGGCAGGGTGCAGGGCAGCCAAAAGGGCAGAGTTGGAGGTGGGGAGACAGGTTGTGGGGGGAGTTGGAGGCAGTCTGTTACCATACTGAGGCTCAGGGCTGGGAGGGACCAGGCCCAGAATGGCTTGGATTGGGGAGGGTCCTCGCCTAACAACCAGTGAAATTTGCTTAATGACAGCATGCAGAATTGTTGGGATTGCAGTCACTAAGCGATGCAGTCATGTGATGTTTCGCTTTATGACTGCCTCGCTTAGCAACAGAAATTCCGGTCCCAGTTGTGGTTGTAAGTAAAGGACTACCTGTAGTTAAAAGATATCCATTGGACAGAAAAAAGTTTCCCCTGAAAAGTCCAATCTTCATTATTTCTGCTGCTCCCTAATCCCAATATTTTAGTATTTCATCATATTCCAATCTTATGGTTATAATACTCATTTAATACAATTGTACTAAGTACACTCTTACTATTTCAACTGATGAATTGAGTACATTTCTTATATAACTACTACTACTACTTATTACATTATTATTATTATTATTATTATTATTATTATTATTATTATTAATTTTCTGCTTTTTTTATAACTCAAGGTGGCAAACATACCCAATATTCCTGCCTATTTTCCACACAATAACAACCCTATGAGGTTGAATATTCAATAATAAATGAGATAATCTGTGAATCCAAAATGATAGACCAATAAAATAGTGCAACAGTTCTCAAAGGGGGTCCATGAAATCAAATAAATATTTTAAAATTTCTCAGTTTTAATTTCTAATACAGTAAATATCAATAGATATAACCCACATACACCAAAGTTCTTTGGGGTCCTCAATCATCTGAGACCAAAATGTTTGAGAACTGCTGTAATAGTGTATCTGTTTTCAATTAAGTTTGGTTTTCTGGAATGCTGGATTTTACATGAAGTAAGCAGAAGTCCTACTTAGGTTCCTTTAAGTAGGACAGTACTATACATAACCTATAAAACATGTATTTATAATGCAGAAGATCACAGGCTGAACTCCTGATATCTCTAATTAAAAAAATAAGTTAGGTGATACAGAAAATCTTTGTTGCCGAATAGATATTACTATGCTAGATGGAGAAATAGCTTCATCTAGTTTAAGATGGCATTCTTTTTAAGGTTTCCTATTTCTCGCTATGAGAAGGCAATTGTACAGGAAAATAATACTGCTCCATGTTGGCTAATTTCTAAGCCACTTGTCAAGAATCAGGTCTTAATATTACAGTCCTCTCATTGCATCCTAATCCCAAAAGGAATGGCTCCAGAATACAGCAACGCTGGGTGAGCAACATGCAACATTAAAACCAAGTTTACTATCCCCTTGCCCAAAGGCATTTGCAGCTAGGAAGACTTACCCCTCCCCCAGGCTTGTACAAAAAGCTAGCATTAACCAATGAGTGAGCAAGGAAGGAGAGTGTTCCTCCCTATATGGGGTAATGGAAGCACAAAGAACAGCCAATTCTCATCACTCACTAGGCTGGCCTCACCATTAATATTCCAAGCACAATGCCGCACTCCCACTGTCTGTATGAACATTGTACAAATTTATTCAATACTTAAAACTCTGCCACAATGGGAGAAGGGACAACTGTATAGTCATCTCTCACTTTCTAGGAAGTGTGTTGTATGTGTGTATATTTGCTTTGACTCTAGAGAACCTTCTGAAGGATTGAGCCTGCTTCCCGCCCCAATGTACAGCACAGCAATGCTATGCTGCAGAGATGGATGTGGGCATAACAGTATATACACTCTGAGATTTCTATGAAAGGCCCAACATTCATAACTCTAGCTTTCTTCATGAATGATTGTACCTCAGCTCTTCATCTAAGTTTATATTGGCCATCTAAATATTAAAGCATTATGGTTTCATGATAGTAATGTGAAATACAGTTCCACAACTAGCAAGGGAGAGAATAAAGGAAAAGTTCAAGCTAGATACTTAAAACCATGACTACTGCAATTCCAGTATTCCTGCATCTCTTGTTTTAAGAAAACACTGGTAAAAACTCCAGATATACAATGACAAATGACACATCCTCCTAAGTAAATCCCATCCCATCCCCTCTCCACCAATAAAGAACAACGTATCAAAGAAACATGGATGATGCGGGTTTCTGAAGGATCAGAATCCAAGAGCCACTTCTTGTTCTAGAATCAGACACATGTGAAGTGCAAAAAACAAGAAATGCATCAGAAAGCTAGGCTTATACCAAGCAAACACCCAGATGTGAAGCAGTCAAGGTTATTCTTTATTTACAGAAAGTACTTGTAATACCTTTTATGTATCATATAGAGCTCATGATAACAATGAATCACATCTCTCAAATTTTCTTTTTTAAAAACAATTTGAACCAAGGAAATACACTACTTAAGCTCATTCAACGAGCCCAGCTCTGTCAGAGATCTGATGCCCTCCTCTTCCAATCAACTGCCTACTAACTCCTTTTCTTGCTTTTCCTTGAGATTATTCCCCCTACCAAGGGGAGCAACTTAAGTATGCATTTCAGTGATTTGGGAGCCAGATCCAGGGATCCTACCTGACATGCAGATGCATGTAAATTCACCAATACGGTCAAGGCAGGTGGCATCATTCTGGCAAGGCATGGAGAGGCATTCATTGATGTCTGTCTCACAGCGTGGACCTGTATAACCACGTCCACACTGGCACTGGAAGGAGCCTTGTGTGTTCACACATTTTCCAAAATGCTCACATGGATTAGCTCCTGCAGTTGGCAAAATAACAAGTGAAAGTGGTTGGCTGGCTGACCCAAAATTATATTTGTAGAGACAACTTGAGACAAAAAGTTTCAACGGCATGCCAGCAGAGGTCAGTCTATCTCAGAAAACCTTTGGACCCTCCCATTTTTTGAAGATGCAGAATTCCATCCATCGCTTCTTCTTTAACACTGTCACACAAGAAAAATGCAATTCTCACCAATGGAGCATTCATTCACATCTTGATCACAGGCTCCACCAGTAAAACCTGGTGGGCAGGTGCAGATTGCACGGCCATTCATTGGGTTGGTGTCACAAATGGCATCTTCATGGCAAGGGTTACTGACACAGGCATCATCCAAGTGACAAAGGAGGCCTAGAAGAGAAAGGTCACTGCGTGACAATTATATATGTGGGGAATAAGAAGAAAACCGCAAAGCAAGAGGAAACAACTTTTGCATCTTCATGTTCAGCATTTCTTTCCATTTAAAAAAGTAACCATATTCATGCTATTCAATGTCCCATACACCCACTGCCTTCTTTTCACAATACCGATTAAAGTCTGTTGATGCAACATGCATGGTAGAGGCTTGCTACCTGTCTTGCCCATAGGACATGCACAGTAGAAGGATGCCACACGATCATGGCAAGTAGCACCATGAAAACAGACAGCTGTCTGACAGTCATCAATGTTCTCACTACAGCTCTCCCCAGTCCAGCCATTGACACAGACACATGAATGGCCACCATTGGTATTGAAGCAAGTGCCTCCATTGTGGCAAGCATTGGGCTGCAGCTGGCATTCATCCACATCCTCAGTACAGAATTGGCCTACAGTAAAAAAAAAAAAAAAAAGGATACTTTTAGCTAAATGTTTTCCAAAATAGAGTTGAATCCAAAAGTTGTAGTTTGTATCCTGTTCCCAATCGTAAGGTGTCATTGTTCTTCGTTCCTAGCTCACTGAGCCAGCATAGAACCATTTTACCAAAATTGGAAGGACTAAAAATAGTCTTATCCATCAAACAGGCAGATTTCCTAACTTGATAGCTAATATTTTTTGTAATGCCATGGAGAAAAGGAAAGAAAATGTTCTATAACCAGATCTTAAGAGCTACCCAGATCCTTATTAAGCCCCCTGAAATTAATCATAATCTGTTTCTTGGCCTGCTTTCCCAGTACCTGTCCACTCTGGAGGACACTGGCAGTTGTAGGTGTTGACACCATCCACACAAGTGCCTCCGTTCATGCACATGTGGTCTGGACAGTCATCTATGTTAATTTCACAGTTGTGTCCCTCAAAACCTGGGAGGAGGAAAGAAAATCATTTAGTCTAGTTGGCTTCAGTGGGAAAATTAGCTTCAGGAAATGAAAACAAAAGGAGTCCACTATTAAAGTTGAATGCACAACTATGCATCCTTTCATGGAAGTTAATTCCATCAAGAATATATCAGAATACTTGCCAGGATAGATGACATATAGTTTAAAGCCTGGTTAGGAACTGTTGGAGACAATGCTGAAGAGCCTCTGAGTTATGCAGTGAAAGCCCTTCCAGCACTCCTGATCATAAACTAGATCGAGGAGGAAACATTAGCCAAGCCTCCCACTGCATTCTGGCTCACATAGCCACAGCGGCTGTCTGCTAACTTGCCTACCCCGCCTCCCTTTAGATTGCTTCCTTCCTACTCCACCAAAACTCTCAATAGCTTCCCATGAGCTTCCTGACAGGAAAGCAATGAAATACAATTTAACAAAAGCAAATATATAGGCTTGTGTTCCATGTGATGCTCCTATTCCACACAACCCAACTGCTTCAGAGATATTTTTACTCTGAATCTCTATCCAGTACCCCACCACACTCTCATAGAGCAGAGGTAAGCAACAATTTTTGGAAGTTCACTCACCAGGCAAGCAAGCGCACTCATAGCTGAGATCTCCTGTCTGACGGCAAGTGCCCCCATTGAGACACTGAGAAGGAGCACAAGGAGTGGAGATACTCTCACAGTGCTGTCCTGTGTAACCAGCTTGGCACTGACAGCGGAAGGAGCCAGGTGTATTAAGACAGGTACCCCCATGCTGGCACAGGCCAGACACCCGACATTCATCTACATCATTCCGACAGTTGCGGCCCTGGTAACCTGATGGGCATGTGCAATTATATCGGCCATTCCAGTTAGTACAGCGGCCACCATTGACACATGGTTTGCTGGCACATGCATCAAACAGAGAACAGTCCTGACCTAAACAGAAAAGGGAATACATTATGATCCTGGAGCAATAGATGGCTCTTCCCCCAAAAGATCTACTTCCTCATTTATATTCTGGACCCATTCTTCCTCGAGAGCACCCAGTCGCATGGCCATCACACTTTTCTACCAGAACTTCTGCAGAAGCTTTTATCTCTATATTCCATCATACTGGATATCCTCACCTCGGAAGCCCTTGGGACAGGTACATTGGTAGTGCACAGTGCCATCACGCAAGGTGCTTTCACATGAGCCCCCATTGGCACAGGGTGACTGGTGACATGGATCTTGAAACTGGCAGTGCTCTCCAATCAGTCCAGGCTGGCATCTAGCACAAAAAAAAGTATGTTAGATTGGCACTTATGTCCACCATACATTGGACATATATTTTAAAGACCTACAACTAACACAGATTCACATCTAAAGGAAAGGATTCTGAAATGGTAGAGTGTGAGAAATTTGACAGAAATAGCATCAGGGTGATATAAAAAGCAGTTCTAGAGAGGTTACTTCAGGAAAATGGGGAGAGAAAAGCTGTTACTTGAAGCAAAGAGCCTCTGAGAAAGAACCCTATCAGGTAGCAGCCTCAAACTTGAAAAATCTACATTTAAGTTTCCCCTTCCATAAATTGCAGTGTCTGTTTCAGATATATTCCTATCACACCTCCATGAAGAACTAATTCAATGAGCAGTTAGGCTCCCTTTTCACCAGGTCACATATTTCTTTTTCACAAATTTCACATAACCACTTAAGAATTACAAACAAATTAGGAACCTGCACAAAACTTCATTCCTCCACCAAATAATACTTCAGTGAAGTCAATTTCCTCTAGCCTGCACTATCCTAGTCCACCAGCATCTGTCATTGCAGATTTTGCTAACTGCCCACACTCACCTTTCCCAAGCTGAAAATAGATATCTTAAATATTGGCCTTGTCTCAGGTTCCAGCCAACCATTTCCTCTTACTAACAAATTCCAAGCAAATCTAAGAAAAAAACCTTTTCCCATCCAGTATAAGATTTTGCCAGCAGAACTCACAGGAAAACACTGAGAGAAGTTGAAAACAGAACATAGCTAAAAACAGGTCTGTATAATTGGCATACAATTTAATTTAATTTAATTGAACATTGCCAATATATTGATATATGCTTGAGACATGGCTAAATGTAGTTTCTGGAAAGATGGTTGTAATGCTTGGCATCAGGAGCCCAGACATTTCTTTGGTCAGGTTTAAAAATCTAGTCAGGTGCAGAGAATGAAGGATTTTACAGGATTCAAGAATCCAAAGTATGGTCTCCAGGTACATTTTTTTGGAAAAGGTTGAATTCAAATTAAATAGATAAAAACTTGGGAAAGATCCTTCTTGTTCCTGAGAAGAATATTGCCAATATCTGACAGACAAAAAAGGGAGAGCTCTGCACTGATGTACAAACACGGGCGAAATAGCTCCTGTGCCCAGAAGGAAAGGTGGCCTAAACTTATAAATCAGCCTGGATGACTAGAAAGAACCACACAGGGAAGCATTCTTCCCCCAACTCTCAGTTTTCAAAACTCAACTTGGCCTTAGCAGAATCCAACACTTTCTTACAAATTGGCCTCTTTTACCTCTCAAAGTTTTCCACCAACCTAGGTCCAAGAAAGTAACAGCTAACCCAAGTAGTGCTGGTGGGAGCGTTAGGCAGTTCCCTTTCCTAATCCACGGCCATTCTGGAGTCTTTCAAACAGGCCTCACAAATCCAAGGGCCTCAGAGCCCTCTCTCCCAGCCTGTGCCTGCAGCCTGCTATTGCCATAGCAACACAAAAAGCCTGTTTGTTTTTCTGCCCGAGCCTGAACAGCACGTCCTGGGCACTGGCTGGGCCCTGCAGCCCACAGAGGGATCAGACAAGGAATGGGAACGCTGGACCAGCTACAGGGTGGGTCCTGCCTGTCACATGAGGCAGAGGAACTGCCCACCAACCCCTTGCCAAAAAACGCCAGCCACCCTGCAGAAGTTGTCGGCTGACCACCACTTCCCAGCAGCTCAAATCTAAAGCAGATGCCATGAATCTTGTGCAAGCCAACAAAAAGTTTACCCAAAGCCAAAGATAGGCCTCTGACGAGGTCCAGTTGTCATGGAAACTCAGGGAGAGAAAGAGACAATTGAAACCAGTCAGCAGTGATGGAGTGATCCATCTGAAGCACAGAGAAGCTCTGCCTTGAAGGCTCAGAAGAGCCTACCTCAAAATCAAGAAAGCAGCTCTGCTGGAATGGAGGGGGACCTCAGACTCCAGAGCCAGGAGGAGAAAAGGGCCAGAAAAAAGGCAGACACAACTTGTCAACAGCAACTGGCCAAAGGAAAAGGCATCCAAGGAAGTCCCCAAAGCTGCATCTGGAGGAAAGTTGCCAGCAGCATTTTGGCAGCTGCGTGTGACTGCGTGGTCACTGTGTGCCTGCACACACACAACACACAAGCGGTAAAGAAATGAGGAAATGCTGGAGTCTACTGTATGATTTGTAGATCTGTGATGTAAAATTAACTGATAGCAGCAATTTAAGATTTAATAGGAGCCATAACACACAATCAAATACTTTACTAATACTTGCTTGTCAATGTTCTGAGGTTTCAGCCCAAAAATAACACTATTCTGTAATAACCAGAACTGTATCCTGTTCTGGTTAAATCCACATAGTTTGACTATTCATCCAAGGAGGTATTGTAAACAAAAGGTTATACTGTACTGTATGTGTTTTTTCAGCAAACCTTGTGCCCAGCCTCACAATAAGCCTATTTTTCAAACCAGTTTAGCTGCTCTTCAGTTTTGCTAAATCACAATAGCAGCTCCTTCCCGAAGTCAGTTCCCCTCAGAACTCATGTCAGGATAAGCTACAATCTCCAAGACCCACCATCTTTTCTCCATAACCACTTGAGCCAGACAATGACTAAAACCAGGCGTAGTGCCTCAAAACTACTTCATTCTAGTGGCTTCCAGCCCAAGTGAGCAAAACCCATGAACTTTTCCTTCAAGCAACTTCCCTCTCCTTCTATCCAGTCCTCACCCGCTGGGTACATGAGGTTGCTAGAAGTCTAAATGCAGAGCAACAGTCAAATTTCCTGCAAAGTATTCTTTTGTCCACAGATGATGGACCTAACATATGAGGTTGACTACTCTTCTACTAAGAAGGCAGGCCAGAAGAATGACTTTCTTGTCCTTAGGAGGAGATGACCTTCAGCCACAAGAGTTGACATCAGTTGTATGGATTACATTCTTTATTACAGGAAGTCCTCACTTACTGACTGTTCATTCAGCAACTGTTCAAAGTTATGACAGCACTGAAAAAGTAGGTTTACGACCAGTAATCAAACTTGCGGCTGTCACAGTGTCCCTGCAGGTGCTTGGCAAGTGGCAGGCATTTACAATGGTTGCAGAGCCCTGCAGTCACATGATCACCATTTGTGACCTTCACAGCCAGCTTCCAACAAGCAAAGTCAATGGGGAAGCCAGCAGGGGCTCGCAAATCACAGTCATGTGACATTGTGCTTAACAACCATGGGTGATTCACTTAACAGCTGCAGCTGTAACTGACGTTGTTAAGTTGGGCATGGTCATGTGCTGTTTCACTTTACAACTACATCACTTAGTGATGGAGTTGCCGGTCCCAATTGTGGTCGGTAAGTGAGAGCTACCCCTACTTAGTCAATAGTCTAAATCAGTACAGTGGCTAAATGCATGAAAGAAAGGCATCCCCCCCCAAAACAATAAAATAGAATGTGGTGGCTACAGAACCAGGCAGCCAGACAAGGACGTGCTCTTTTGGGTCTGTTCTATCATCACAGATAGTAAATTTAACTCCTGTTCTGAGTTACTGGAGCAACAGAGCTGACAAGAAAGGGATGTACTAAAACAATAGCCCCTAGGCAGCTCAGTCAAGCTACAGCACTTTTTGCAGGATTAGGCAGGTGAAGGCCATATCTGCATACGTGAATTTGTCTGATGGATGTGGCAGATAAGCCTGCAGACACCTGTCAGGGACACCCCTACTCCCATCTCCATCAATGTTCCTCTCCTCTTACTGAGTGGGCCGTGATCCCTCTGAGGATCTGTTTGTTGCCTGAAGAGTGATCCAATGCAATACATTAGCTGACCAGTGGCTAATACAAATAGTCCTTGGTTAACAACCATTCGTTCAGCAACCTTTCAAAGTTACGGTGATGCTGAATGAATGGTAGTTATGCCCAGTCCCTGAAGTTATGGCTGTTGCAGCACCCCTGCAGTCACATGATCAAAATTTGGCTGCTTGGCAGCCTGCCCACACTTACAACTGCAGGGGTGCTTTAACTCCTCCTACCCATCTATCTCCCCCCAATCTCTGCCCTTTCAGTCACCCTGCACTCCGCTGCCTCTGCCGGCCCTGCACTCCTCTGGTCCTGCCGCCCTGCCCTCTGCTCATCCTGCCATCCCTGCTGCCCCCAGCTGACCTTCACTGTCTTACACGATTTGGGTACAGGCGGCCTCAGGAAGAAGGCCTGATGCGGCCAGCAGTTACCTCTCAAAGGGCCAGGCCAGGTGTGCTTCATCAGCAACAGGAGAAAGAAGATAGCAAAGGTCAGCTGGGGGGCGGCAGAGCGGCAGGGTGAGTGGAGCACAGGGCGGCAGGGCCAACAGAGCACAGGAGGGGAGATAGGCGGGTGGGGAGAACTGAAGAGGAGGCAATCCTTTACCTTACAGAGGCTTGGGGCTGGGAGGGACCAAGTCGAGAATAGCGTGGTTTGGGGTGGGTTCTTGCCTAACTACTGGGTGGGATTTGGTTAATGGTGACAACTGGGAGCACCAGGAGTGCTGTGGTAAGCAATGTGGTCACATGACGTCACACTTTATGCCCATATTGCTCAGTGATGGAAATCCCAGTCCCAATTACCATCGTTAACCGAGGACTACCTGTAGCGGAGCAAGATACTCAGTTTCCTTGACCCTCTGTTTCCAGTGTGTACATCCTCTGGACCATCTCTAGCACCCACTTATCAGTGGAGCTGAATTTTCAGGTGTGCCAGAATGTTTGCAACAGCTGCCTACCTGAATGTCTTGGTCATCACACTGATGTTATTTATTCAGGTTCTGATCTCAGCTATGAAAAGGGGTCAAAGTTGAGGAATAATATATATAAGAGTCAGAAGACTTTTTTCTTTGGGGGGGGTGGGGATGGTATGTTCATTGCTTCCTTTTGGGTGTGTGCATCTCAGTTCTTCCCTTGCTGCCTAGCCTTTTGCCCAAAAACTGGTCTACAAGGCAAAAACATCTCCTTGCATGTGGTTTCTATTTGTGGAAAGGACAATGTTGTTCTCAGGGTCA